GATTTGTATATAGGGCTCGCTCATATTCAAATTTAAAGAGCAACAATCTATATACGCTAGACGGATTTAAATTACATTTTGATATACGTATTTAATTAATTTTTGCTGGTCGTCACATATCATTTATTTGCAAAAAATAATAGAAGCTACTTAGGGATTGCCTAATTAAAGAATGCTTGCCATCGAGGGGCTCTCTCGGTCTATCGGTGAGGATTAAAGAACTGCTTAAAAATATTGAATTATTACAGTATTATTTTATACAATAATATGAAATTGGATATAAAGTAGTGAAATCATAAAAAAAAAATCTATAAATAGTTTCATGAAATTCGACTGCTAAAAAGATTAAATGAAATTAAACTATACAGGAGGCCGATAACTGTATTATACAATATTATACACAGGAACGCACATCAAGTTAGACACAGAACGCGCATCGCGTATGACACAAAATGGCTTCTAAATTCTCAATGTCGCAACTCTTTCTATCTATGGCTCTGGAATGCACGTTCTGTGTCTAACGTGATGTGCGTTCCTGTGTATAATATTGTATAATATATAATAATTAATATGTAATATATAATAATTATGTAACGTACATTTTATTGTATTAAATGTCTCGCCTTTATTTTAATATTGTATTATGGCTGTACAGTATGTTACTTTTATAAACACACTGCAAGAGCGTGTCCGCTGTTTTAAAAGCGTTGTTTCCAAAATAAAGTTATAATAATTATATAATAGTATGCAATAGAAACAACAATTCATTTTTAAGATTATTAAACATTTTTATTTTCTTTGTCATTCGTATTTATACAGGCTGTACAAAGAATTAAAATTAAGAAGAACAATTTTTAATATCGTTTAGCGAACAACTTTTAAAGATCGTCAGAAAAGGGCGAAAAAAAATATTATTTTTTTCCTATTTAGCTTAAATATTTTTCCGAACGCATCTAGGCGAATGAGAAAATAAAAATAAAATTTTAATGATGAACGTAAACAGTG